CACGTCCGATATAATCTATACTGATTGGCCTGTGAGCCACACCTATTGTTTGTACGTCCGTTATAATCTATACTGATTGGCCTGTGAGCCACATATATGGTTTGTCTGTACCTCATTTGCCTTACTGATCGGCCTGTGAGCCCAACTATTGTTTGTCTGTACGTCCGTTATAATCTATACTGATCGGCCTGTGAGCCACACCTATTGTTTGTCTGTACGTCCGTTATAATCTATACTGATCGGCCTGTGAGCCCAACTATTGTTTGTCTGTACGTCCGTTATAATCTATACTGATCGGCCTGTGAGCCACACCTATTGTTTGTCTGTACGTCCGTTATAATCTATACTTATCGGCCTGTGAGCCACACCTATTGTTTGTCTGTACGTCCGTTATAATCTATACTGATTGCAATGTGAGTCACACCCATTTTCTGTCTGTACGTCCTTTGCCTTACTGATCGCCCTGTGTGGTTTATATGTTTAACGGACGATGAACTCGTGCCAAAATGACTGGCGTATGTTTATCAGATAATTAGCCAGTCTTTAAACCATTTTGCGGTCTGGATTACGTTGTTTGATCTAGAACTTGTATTCTCTATGTATTGAACATATATAAACAGAAACAACTGATTTTTCTCTCTAGGTCGTTAAATGAAGAGGTTTCTCCTGCTACCTCCTTTACATACTGGTTCAACAGTATCCCATGGTTTAATCCTTCGTAACAAAAAGCAGTGTGCTGGGATTTCCACTGGTGGTGGTATAGTGAATCACTCACCTCTGTAATAGACGGTAACAAATGTCCTCTATGTTAGTCTGAACTAGTTAACAGAACTACAACAGAAGAATGGCTCCATTGTAAGTTTTGACTAGAGATAGGATAATCTCCGTCTTTCCTCCCCAGAATCTTGCTACGCACTCGCCAATAAGATTTTATCAAAACAACATATCACGTGGTTTTTTGTTGTTGTTTTGTTTATCTAAGTTTTACCGCCGTAGGATCGATTCATATGATCATAGCGGTCTGTTGTACGTTACCACTATACATACATGTAGTACCAATATTGATGTAAATCATCAGTAGAAGTGTTTTCATGGAAACGGTCACGAGGCGTGAAAGCTAAACTTTGTGGCGAAACTATTAAAACACGTGGAGAATTAAACGGAATCTATCTTTTCATTCCACGTACGAATTTAAAAAGGTTATATACATGCAAAGTAACCATCCGTAGATATCATAAACCAGCACCAAATCCGGAATGGAACACGTGGCATAGAATTGTTTTACGAATAAAATACCAAACCTTATGAAATATGGCAAATTGTTTAGTTTGGGTACAACTATGTTTTGAACAATCTCAAACCGTCTCATGTACGGTGTTTGAGAGTACAGTTCATGTATGGTACTGAGCCACTGAGCTGTTCCATTTCATATGTCGTTCAAATTTAGGGTATTCGTGGACAGCGCCTTTATCGGATGTCAGTCAGGTTTTGAGAGAGTTCCATTTTGAAAAGGCAGTGATTACCCTTATCGTCTGTATCTGGGTGTCATTCAATATATTTCGTAACTTCGTAAATCTTTCTCTAATATATCGGTGACTGCGTTCGTTGAAAATAAGGCAAGTCAGACCGTAATTTTTGGGGTCGAAATTTTGACCAAAATGACGCTGATTGGCGAATTCCATCCTCTTATGGTTAGTACAATGTCATGTTTGTTATCGGTGAAAGGAAGTGTCAGCAAATATTAGGAAACCCTGACTTTGGTTTACGTATTAAAATTAATTTGTTGAAGTTTCATTTCGAATTCAACATCTGATTATATATAAGACAAAGGTCTCGTTGTAAGGATGACGGGCACGTCCCAGTAAATCAGTCATGTACAAGCAAAATTACGTGGATTGATGTCCCTAGACCAAACCACAAGGGAACACAACAAACGCTTGTTGGACTAGATTCTAACGATCATTAGATAAATAAATCATGTTTTTATCCTTCGAAAATTCCAAAAACGCAGAAACATCACCAAATCAAAAATTCCTCCAGCCAATAGGAGAATAAGAAAAACAACGACAGGCAATGAATTTAATCTATTATGGGGTCTGTTGATTTATGCCGCTCCATATTAAATTACCGTTCCTTTTTGGTTGCCCCATCATCACTGCTATCGCTCCAGTTTGGGAACCATTCCATCTTCGATAGCGTTCCAGTTTTGATATTTCTCTGTTTCCATTTCTCTTTCATGTTTTTTTTCAGTGATAGAGAAACCCGTTGTAGGAATTTGGAGTAGATATTTAAGAAAAAATTCACCAACTCTTATAACTATAGATAAAGATACGACAATAATTACCTAGCAATATGTCTGCCGTTTACGAAATTTTAATTGATTTGGCCTCCTTTTGATTTATAATGGCATTCATAGATATATAATTGCCATATCATTTTTGTAAGATAAATACCATGTACCAGACTTTGTAGAGTTCACATGTAATACTGCAATGTTAGAAAGCAATTACTTGACTTATTGTTGTACTATGTACTTGATGACGTTTCACTAATTCACTGAAGTATCCCCACTTCCTACAGAAATAATTTATCGACTGCTTAGTTGTCCTAACACAAGTATTAGCTCACGTGTGTGTGCAGGTACGGAGCAGAGCACACGTGTTTAGAATTATCCGCTAGGAAACCATACAAAAGTACGTTGGATCTGTTCCAAATGTTTGAGTACGAGGCCAACATCCTCTGTAATAAAGCCCAGCAAGACGTTTGTATACAGGTTGTACCACACATCACAACAGTGCAATGCTGTTAATGCTGTAGATCAATTTTTGTTACAGAAACAATAAACTATCAACCGTTAAATTTCTGGGTCAAGAACTTGGAACTAAAAACCGTTCAACTTCTGGATCAAATACGCGGAACTAAAACAGTTTTTTTTCAAGTACAAGTAACTAAAGAATAAAAAAAGCTCGATATCTGGATCAAGTATACGGAACTATAGCTCGTTAAAATTCTGGATCACGTACACGGAACTATAACTCATTAAAGTTCTGGATCACGTACACGGAATTATTACTCAATTAACTTCTTAATCAGATGATATTATGAAAGCATATTTATACAAAAAACAACAATATGCCCCGGTTGCGACAAAATTCTGAAGTGAGACCTTAACATTTTACTATATAAGGCATATGCTAATTGCACGTACACTTTGTGAAAGGTCACGGCCAAGGTCACTTGGTCAAAACTTTTTGTATCATTGGAAGGGTCTTGTCACAAGGAACAAGCATGCCAAAATGAAATCCCTACCTCTTACGGTGCAATAGTTATGGAACAGGTTAAAGTTTACAACAGACAAACAAACAAATAGACAGCACAAAAAATACGCCCCCGATCTTTCGATCCGGGGGCACAAAGGAACATGTCTAGAACGGAAACTGTTTCGCCTGTACGCATCTGTTTTGTAAATCAATTTTCTTTGTGTTCTATTGGGATTAATTATTTATGAACGATGCAACGTTATAACAATGATCACTTGTTTACCAGTCAATAGGGCCAGACGTAAGGTATAAAAAGAGTACATTTAATCACCCAAAGTCTTCTCGTTAAGAGGGCAATTTAACAGATGGACACTTCAGGAAAAGGTTAATTACACAGAGAGATACTTCAGGGCAACGCTAATTAAAAAGAGGGACACTTCAGGGAAACGTTAATTACATAGAGGAACACTTCAGGGAAACCCAAATTACAAAGAGGAACACTTCAGGGAAAGGTTAATTACATAAAGGGACACTTCCGGAAAAGATTAATTACATAGAGGGACACTTCAGGGAAACGTTAATTACATAAAGGGACACTTCCGGAAAAGATTAATTACATAGAGGGACACTTCAGGGAAACGTTAATTACATAGAGGAACACTTCAGGGAAAGGTTAATTACAAAGAGGGATATTTCAGAGAAAGGTTAATAACTGAGGAATACTTCAGGGAGATGTAAATTACACATAGAGGAACACTTCAAGGAAAGGTTAATTACAAAGAGGGATATTTCAGGGAAAGGTTAATAACAGAGGATACTTCAAGGAAAGGTTAATTGCATAGAGGGACACCTCAGGGAAAGGTTATTACAAAGAGAGACACTTCAGGGAAACGCTAATTACATAGAGGGACACTTAAGGGAAACGTTAATTACATAGAGGAACACTTCAGGGAAACGCTAATTACATAGAGGAACACTTTAGGGAAACGCAAATTACACAGAAGGACACTTCAGGGAAACGTTAATCACATAGAGGAACACTTCAGGGAAACGCAAATTACAAAGAGAGACACTTCAGGCAAACGTTAATTACATAAAGGAACACTTCAGGGAAACGTTAATTACATAGAGGAACACTTCAGGGAAACGCAAATTACAAAGAGGGACACTTCAGGGAAACGTTAATTACATAGAGGAACACTTCAGGGAAACGTTAATTACATAGAGGGACACTTCAGGGAAACGCTAATTACAACAAGGGACACTTCAGGGAAACGCTAATTACATAGAGATACTTCAGGGAGAGATTATTTTCATTGAGGCAGACTGCAGGGAGAGTTACACAGAGGGAGTTTTTCATTGTGGTCAAGAAAGTTAAGACAGAGTGACACCACTGGACATAAACTATAATAAATGGTTCCGTTAAGGACCATTAAAGTTTGAAAAATAATTATTGTTTCTGTTCACGATGTGATTTTATGACCATTAGTCAAAATTAATTGAAACAACAAAGAAAGAAAAGGCGCCAAATCGTCATAAGATATTCCATTTTCCATTGCAGTATTAAACTCATTCAACGATGGTTATTTTTAAAAATCACTGTTTGCGTCCAAACCGCTGGTTTTGGATACTTCCCTTCCTGACGTTACACTATAGAATAATTATTGTTATTTTTCATAATGTGATTTTATTACCATGAATTGAAATTAATTGATACAACAATTTTTTTGTCTATTTCAGGTCGGCATGTCATCGCCACGGGTGCACGATCCACTCTTCCATTTCGAGACCCATTTCCCAGAACGACTTTCAAGACTCCATCTAAATCCTGAATTTGGCCCAGTATCACCACACAGAAAGAACAAACGTTCGCGAGCATCTCGCCAAGGCGTGAGATATAAAACCCAACCTGTCACTTTTGACGAAATAACTGAAGTTGACGAGGAAATTACACCCAACACAGAAGCTGAGAACACAATCGACCAACTACAGGCCTTCTCGCGCTCTATGGATGGACTGCTTCCAAAACTACCAGGGAAAAAGAAGAACAACAACAATAACGATGACACTACTTCCGGTAAAACATTTAGCCAATCAACAGTCGCGACACAAACCGCAGCAAATGAAAATCGTTTGCAAGGAAATGACATTACCGCTACAAATGATAAGGAAGATAAAGAAAATTGCCCTGAATCGAAGCTTGACCCGAGTGGGCTGACCGCACTGCCACCAACAGGCCTACCAACGGGTAAACACGATGGACGCCGGCAAAAAATGACGGCGAAAGCAAAAAGACGTCAGATGATGGAGGCTGGAAAAGATGGGACGAAAGAGTCGTGAACACAAATAGCGGTCCACTGTTGGATTAGATAAGAGAGTATTTTCGTGTTTACGTAATGCCATAATAAGGCCTTGAGGTACTCTATCTCAGTGAATAATATACTATGTCGTTATTTTTTTTTTTCGTTGGTATGTAATTTAAATGCTAACGCTGGCCTGGTTATGCCGGGCGTGTCAAATTGACAGTTTTGAAACATGTGTTATCGGAACATCTATGCTTATGTCTGGCGGATAATTTGCACTGTTTTATATTCGACACTTTGCATCCTTTACTGAAAATTGCCAGTATTGCTGTAAGTCAGTGGATTATTCTTTATAAAGGCTGATTTTACTGTTGTGTTAGTAGAAAATTAGTTATGTACATTTGTACCTTTTCAGTGTAGACAACCCATCACTTAAATGAGTTCATATATTTTGGTGCTAGATATTCCACAAACAGGTTCCGGTTTTTCAAAGGTTGGATAGAAATAACAAGAAGATTGCTGAATAAAGATATCTTAAATAAAGATAAAAAAAAACATTATTACCGTTTCACGGCTATGTGAAGAGACATGTCAGATTGATATACTGTGTGTGGTAGTTTTGTCTAACCAACCTTTGATCATCCTTAGCCAGGCCGCTTAGTTTGATTTGTTGTACGTTGTTTTCATCAGGTTTTGTATAAAGAAGTTTCTCCTGTATTTGGTATCAGGGATGTGCTATGGATTTCACTGACACTAAAGTAGACATTTACAAGTGAAGAATCGTCTTGTCAAGGTTTTTTTAAGACAAGAGTACAGATGTTATGCCAGCAGTTACCTAGAATGGACCTCTATCCTGATATATTTTCATGGTTACAGTTGACAAATTAAATCATTTAAGAATATTCCTCCAGAAAACACAGATATCCTTATATCTATTTGGCATGCACAGGGTTAGATTAGGGTTTTTTTTTTCAAACCATTGACCTCTATTTAATGTCACATAAGTAAAATATGTTAAACATCTTTAAGAATTGTCCTGGTTAATCCCGGAAGACCCAGGGAAATGGTCCCGGCAAGAGTTATAATTCCTTTACAAAATTCACATTTTAAAAGAAAATGGTCGTAATTTGTTTTTTTTACATCATGAAGACTGGTATTGTATATTCTTTTTAATGTACATGGGTACTTTGAACAAGGAATCTGAAACACGTGCTGATTATTGTGGCTTTAAAAAAAATCCATGTAAGCAATGACGGTCTTTTCGGAGCCTCTTTTGTCTGTATCAATCTACAAAATGCATCTTTCTGCATTCTCCGTCTGTTGATGTGATTATATATATCCATAGTGTATAGGACTAAACTGAAATTTCTCATTTATCTTTTGTCCGGCGTCGTCCGCCATCAAACATTTTCGACTTGATCGAATCTAAGGACTGCACGGCCCAGGATGAAGTAAGATTACAGATTATACTGTCCCTAACACGTAGGAACTTGTGAGACAGGGCCAAAAAGTGTCAAAGTCACTGAAATGAAAAGTAAAGACAAAGATATGGTAGAATTAAATACACTTCATGGATGGAAGAACTGTAATGTGATTTTTGTGGATTTATATGACTTCAGACTACCGCATTTCGCCCGTCGGGAGGGGGATTTTGAGGAAGTTCTGTTTTGATTTTCATTGTAAAATACTTGAATTAGAATGTTCTAGATACCTATAAATGGCAGTAGTACAGGTTTTTGACGATTCCAGCTGAAAATAATATAATTATAACCCTTCTCTCATCTAATTTTCTTGCTATCAACACTGTTTTCATTTGATGACATGCATAATTTGGTTCAAAATTATCTTATTTTGTTAACATTATGATTCTGTAATGGAACTCTGAGCTATATCACAAGTAGAGCTAAGAAAACGAGGCGTTTGTGTGGAATTGAATTAGAAATGACCTGGTTGTACAGTCTTGTATATATCATCTCTTGTTTACTCGTTTGGACATCTTATTAGTTTTAATCGGTTTCTATTCTAATCAAATGTTATCAGTTACAGTTTAAGGAATCAGTTTTATGTTAAAGTTTTATGTTTTCACTGCATTCTCTGCATAATATTCATTGCATTGAGTATTTTCGTTTCGTCTTTGGCTTGAAAAATGTCGATGGAACTTGTAACTTAAGAAGTAAATAAAAGGGTAATTCAAAATGTGTTCCTAGTTTTCTTCTCCATAATAATCAATCTCTGCACACGATTCGGTAAGGTCATCAATTAAGATAATTACTGACGTCATCAATAAAGATAGTTACTGACGTCATGAATATAGTTGCTGACGTCATAGATGAAGATAGTTACTGACATCATAAATAAAGATAATTTTTGACATCATAATAATAAAGATAATTTCTGACGTCGTTAATATAGCTATTGACGTCATAAGTATATTGTATGTATGCAAAGTTTCTGACATCATATATAATGTCATTTACAGGTATGTTACACGTGATAGTTGCTGACGTCATACAGAAGGCAGTGGCATGACGTGTCATTCTTAAAGAGAGTCACCGACACGTCATACATATGGATATTTATTGACACATCATATAGCCATTTATAAGAAGTCATACATAAGGATAGTTACAGTTGAAAGCACGTAACACAAAGGGATATACATCAAACAGAAATGGAGTCACTACCGCTGCATCCATGAAGTCAAACACAAGAAGTTAAAGAAGCCACATATATGAAGATAGTTATTGACAAGTCAAACACCAGGAGGTAAAAACGCTACATACATGAAGATAGTTACTGACACGTCAAACACAAGGAGTTAAAAACGCTACATACATGAAGATAGTTACTGACACGTCAAACACAAGGAGTTAAAAACGTTACATACATGAAGATAGTTACTGACACGTCAAACACAAGGAGGTAAAAACGCTACATACATGAAGTTAGTTACTGACACGTCAAACACAAGGAGTTAAAAACGCTACATACATGAAGATAGTTACTGACACGTCAAACACAAGGAGTTAAAAACGCTACATACATGAAGATAGTTACTGACACGTCAAACACAAGGAGTTAAAAACGCTACATACATGAAGATAGTTACTGACACGTCAAACACAAGGAGTTAAAAACGCTACATACATGAAGATAGTTACTGACAAGTCAAACACAAGGAGTTAAAAACGTTACATACATGAAGATAGTTACTGACACGTCAAACACCAGGAGGTAAAAACGCTAAATGTATGTATACATGAAGATAGTTACTGACAAGTCAAATACAAGGAGTTAGAAACGTTACATACATGAAGATAGTTACTGACAAGTCAAATACAAGGAGTTAAAAACGTTACATACATGAAGATAGTTACTGACAAGTCAAATACAAGGAGTTAAAAACGTTACATACATGAAGATAGTTACTGACAAGTCAAATACAAGGAGTTAAAAACGTTACATACATGAAGATAGTTACTGACAAGTCAAATACAAGGAGTTAAAAACGTTACATACATGAAGATAGTTACTGACAAGTCAAATACAAGGAGTTAAAAACGTTACATACATGAAGATAGTTACTGACAAGTCAAATACAAGGAGTTAAAAACGTTACATACATGAAGATAGTTACTGACAAGTCAAATACAAGGAGTTAAAAACGTTACATACATGAAGATAGTTACTGACAAGTCAAATACAAGGAGTTAAAAACGTTACATACATGAAGATAGTTACTGACAAGTCAAATACAAGGAGTTAAAAACGTTACATACATGAAGATAGTTACTGACACGTCAAACACAAGGAGGTAAAAACGTTACATACATGAAGATAGTTACTGACACGTCAAACACCAGGAGTTAAAAACGTTACATACATGAAGATAGTTACTGACAAGTCAAATACAAGGAGGTAAAAACGTTACATACATGAAGATAGTTACTGACAAGTCAAATACAAGGAGGTAAAAACGTTACATACATGAAGATAGTTACTGACAAGTCAAATACAAGGAGTTAAAAACGTTACATACATGAAGATAGTTACTGACACGTCAAACACCAGGAGGTAAAAACGTTACATACATGAAGATAGTTACTGACAAGTCAAATACAAGGAGTTAAAAACGTTACATACATGAAGATAGTTACTGACAAGTCAAATACAAGGAGTTAAAAACGTTACATACATGAAGATAGTTACTGACACGTCAAACACCAGGAGGTAAAAACGCTACATGTATGTATACATGAAGATAGTTACTGACAAGTCAAATACAAGGAGTTAAAAACGTTACATACATGAAGATAGTTACTGACAAGTCAAATACAAGGAGTTAAAAACGTTACATACATGAAGATAGTTACTGACAAGTCAAATACAAGGAGTTAAAAACGTTACATACATGAAGATAGTTACTGACAAGTCAAATACAAGGAGGTAAAAACGTTACATCTCTAAAAAGTGTTTAGTTAATTTCTCAGCAAAGTGTTTAGTTTATATCTCATCAAAGGGTTTAGTATATGTTTAGTTTATACATAATTAGTATATATCTTAGTGTTTAGACAGTATATCTTTAGCAAAGTCCGATGAGGTATTAACATAAAGACATGTACTTCTTTTAATGAAGAATTTAGGAAATAGAGGACATTTGTGTCACATTAAACTAAATATCTAAATGGCATATACAAATCCTCATACGTTATTTATTTCTCCTAGAGATCCAGGTAGACTATATAAGACATTAAAATATTAAAAGATGTCATTGAGAATCTCATTATATTTATCATACATACTTATGTTCCTAATCTGCATTCTTTTTTAATGAGAGATAATTTCTGTGGCTCCAGTCTTAGTAGCTCTGACCATCCATCAATGGTAAGTTTAGAAACGACGAGGCCGTGTGGACACCCAGTCCTGACGAGAAAACGATTTTCTTTCCGCCGTTGTCGGCTAAGATGGATACGTATCTGGCTAACTGTTGACAACAACACTGGGTAATTACCAAAGGAAGCCTTTATCCAACCAAGATAAAACTCGGCATCCACACAGCAAATTGAATAAGAGGAAATGAAATAGGTGTCAGCTGGCTGGATTGGTGAGAAACATACAGTAACCCTCGACAAGTATGAACAGGCGTTAGTAACAAACCATTGATCAAGAAATGTGTTCGCTGCTTTCATCATGGAATGAGATGTCTTAAAGTTTTGATTTTTTTACGACGAAGTCATTTTTCTGGCATGTTTTTATCATCGTATGGTAGTGCCTGTATCTCTTACATTACATTCAAACTATATCCTCCATTTCTGTACCAGACGAAGTTGGGGAGACATATTGCTATTTTACACCTTCCGTCATTCTTTTTGTCATTATGATTTATGTAAACATTTCATGAAGGTTATGTCTTCGTCTAGTTGGCAATTATATCCCTATGAATACAAGTTGAAAGCGGTTCAATAATAATTCTATTTTATATAATTACTTATATGGTTATTGCTGGTGGTAGATGCGTTAACATGTAACTTTTTACATTCACATCTTCTTGCCAAGAACCGCTGAGCCGATTCAAACCAAACAAAGTCACTGGCATTAATACCTGAAAGCGCAAAATTTTGTGGTCCCCATCCTCAGTGGTCTTAAACATCTCTCTTCGGAGACATAAGTATTAAATACTTTATATGGATTTTAAAGCTGTGATATTTACACATTTACACTGTCAAAGGCGGTGGTTTAAACCCAGAATTGACATTGCGTTCTTGTCATCATACCTGTAAAGTTTGGCGGTGGGGGGATGGGGGAGAATGAGGTTATCTTTTTATATAACAATACATTTCAGGGTTTCGAAATAACCTATAGGTTCTATACACCAAAAGGGGTTTATGTTTTTTATCACTGGGTAATTTTTTTCATGTGCAACCCTGCTTAATCGTCATATAAAAGTGATGGTAGCACAAAACTTTTCAGTGGATAACAAAAATATGGGGTTTTTCGTACCGGAATGAAAACAGCTGACTGCTCATTTGGTAATTCAAGAACTAATTGACAACGATCGCGTAATGCTTACAACTTCAGATGTAGAATACAGGATAAAGTGGAATACAAAATGGAATTTCTGTTGTAAATGAAACTCAGGGTGCTAATTAATGAAATATTTGTAGGGAGTAGGTTTCACGAGCCATGTGCAGTAATATAACCTCAGATGAAAGTTTTGATATGATCTAAACAGAGGAAAAAGCTAAGAAACTCAAAATTGCTATTGAAGTAGAAAAGATCGAAATTATAGCGGTATAATCAAAACTTGAAAAGAACTTACTTCCTCGTCCATCAACGTTTAAGACAGTATGGAAAATAAGCTTAGTTTACCTGGTGCTTTCAAGCTTTTATTGATATCGAGAAATGTCAAATTTTCTGACCAGTAATTGAAAAAAATTGAACTTAAATAAAATTAACCGGGTAAGCAATAAATTAAAAGAATAGTAGTATGTTATCGCTTTTTCTGAAAAACATTTCGTTCGATAATTCTCAAATTTCATTTGCAGGTCACTTTCTACCAGCTTTTGCATAGCTATTTTGAGATTGGTTGAAAAAAACAACAAGATGGCCGACAGGCAGATTTCGTGCTTCTTGATAGTCATAGTTTGTTATAGTTATTTGTGTAGAAGTACTGGATGGATCTTTCTCAAATTACATATGAAGGTTCCACTTGGTCAGCTGTTGTGCCTTTTGATTTAGGGTCTGATTAGGAAGACGAAATGGCTGCTTATGCTTATTCAAAATTATTATTTTACCAGGGAAATACTGCATGGATCTTTCAAAGAATTTATATTCTTAGTATGTAGATTCCTTTGGTACCTGGTTTTGCCCTTTTCATTTCGAGACTGATAAGAAAAACGAAATGACCGACAAGTGACCACCTTTGATTGATCTACAGTACAGTCTATATTACCTACAGTGTAGTTTTATATTATCTACAGTACAGTTTTATATTATCTACAGTACAGTATATATTATCTACAGTACAGTATATATTATCTACAGTACAGTCTATATTATCTACAGTACAGTTTTATATTATCTACAGTACAGTTTTATATTATATACAGTACAGTTTTATATTATACAGTACAGTACAGTTTTATATTATCTACAGTACAGTTTATATTATCTACAGTACATTATATATTATCTAC